CAACAGCAGACGTGTGCACTGTGGTCACGCCAGCGTCAAATCCATCCAAGTTACATGGTTTATTAAAATAATCAAATTACAGCATTTACATTTATGTTAGACTACTTTTAATTAACTGCTTTAGCCCACTTACAATGAAAATAAAAAACCACTATTGGAAGTAAAAATAACTTGAACTCCAATTTTGAAAACACAACTTTCTTTCTTTTCCTTTTTTTTTTTTATTTTTTTATAAGGCTCTGACTTGTATTATGTGTATGAGTCTGTGGTCTGGGAGAGAGTCTGTAACTCTGTATAGTATATAATGACCAATGCTGGGCAATTAATTATATAGTTACTTCTTCAAAAAAGTAACTCAGTTTGGCAAACAACAAAGTTTTTTGCAGCTATTTTTTTTAATGCAGCCAAGGTGTGTTTTTTTTAAACAAACATTTCAAACTGTTTACAGAACAATTAGCTGTTCTGCATCAAATTTGATGCCACACAAATTATTTGTGCCACTCCAAAAAATTATTTCTGTCCACTATGAGATAAAGGAGAACAACAGCCTGATACCTGCAGGCCTGACAATAGGAGATGTATCACTGCTGTAACACCTGTAACATTCAGCAGTCGCCTCATTGTTCTGACAAACACAACAAAACCATTGACTACACTACACACTAACTACACAAGACAACACACTAACTTTAGACTTCAAACACGCTAAACGTTGCAAATCTCAAAACACCGCCGTCACTCCTAAAACTACCTAAATCACTAAATGCCATGTTACCATATCATTTTTTAATTGGTCGACATGGTACATTTTTCCACCAATAGCAAAGAGTGGGGGTTTTTTGGTTTTGTCTTTGATCACAGGTGGAGAGTGATTTCGAGCGTTTTCCTTATAAAATGCCGTTTTTACCGTTTCTTCCTGCAGTAAATATAAACAACGATAGTATTCAGGAAGAAAACCAAACATTGCATATTTTTTTATCACAACTCTGATTTTACGTGGCCAATCAACCCAATTTAAAAACTGGTTTAAAGTCCACACTTTCTTCGTCAATTGTTCCATCTGTGCTGCTCATATCTCCAATGGTTGTACACGTTGTCATTAACGTGGCTTCACTCCACATCAGCCGCTTTGCTCGCTAAAACACCGGTGTCGGCACATAAGGACGCTGTCATAGCCTGTCGACGACGTTGATTAGCTGCATATATACAAATGTAAATCGCATAATTGGCTGGACTATGGGATAAGGTGGCATCGTTCTAATCCCATACTGGAGCAGCCAGTCACTGACTAACATTGCAAAACAGAATTGTTAAAGTATTAATTTTAATTTCAATTCAGGTTAGATTTTTTTTGTGCGCAACGCAGATTTTCTGTGCGCAGAGACGTGCCAGCAATGCGCAATTGCGCACGTGCGCAGCTTAGAGGGAACATTGGTTAAGAGGTATTCATTCAGGGGTCATTCATGAAATATTCTGTTCCAGCTGCTGGAGGACAACATCATCACTTTTGTGAAGCAAGAGTTGAAGAAGATCCGGAAGGTTCTGAGTCCAGATTACCCAGAATGCTTAGAGAGTCAGAGGGTGGATGAAGAGCAGAGGAGCAGCAGAGAGGCATTGGTGAAGATCACACTAGAATTCCTTAGGAAAATGAAGCAGGAGGAGCTGGCTGACCTTCTGCAGAGCAGTGAGATATTTCATGGAATATTTATGCTGCTGGATGAATGAAACATATGCATTTGATAAATCCTTGATTGATGAATTTTGTCTACTGGGTCTTTTAGAAATCTGCACTAGAGATGTCAAGTGGTGTCATCATGAATTGAAATCTAATCTGAAGAACAAGTTCCAGTGTGTGTTTGAGGGGATTCCTAAAGCAGGAAACCCAACCCTTCTGAATCAGATCTACACAGAGCTCTACATCACAGAGGGAGGGACTGCAGAGGTCAATGATGAACATGAGGTTAGACAGATTGAAGCAGCATCCAGGAAACTAGACAGTCTAGAAGCAATAATCAGACAGCAAGACATCTTTAAAACCCCACCTGGAAGAGATGAACCAATCAGAGCAGTGCTGACAAAGGGAGTGGCTGGCATTGGGAAAACAGTCTTAACACAGAAATACACCCTTGACTGGGCTGAAGGCAAAGCCAACCAGGACATCCAGTTCATATTTCCATTCACTTTCAGAGAGCTGAATGTGTTGAAAGAGGAAAAGTTCAGTTTGGTGGAACTTGTTCATCACTTCTTTACTGAAACCAAAGAAGCAGGAATCTGCAGGTTTGAAGACTTCCAGGTTGTGTTCATCTTTGATGGTCTGGATGAGTGTCGACTTCCTCTGGACTTCCACAAGACTACAATCCTAACTGACCCTAGAAAGTCCACCTCAGTGGATGTGCTGCTGATAAACCTCATCAGGGGGAAACTGCTTTCCTCTGCTCGCCTCTGGATAACCACACGACCTGCAGCAGCCAATCAGATCCCTCCTGAATGTGTTGGCATGGTGACAGAGGTCAGAGGGTTCACTGACTCACAGAAGGAGGAGTACTTCAGGAAGAGATTCAGAGATAAGAAGCAGATCAGCAGGATCATCTCCCACATCAAGACATCACGAAGCCTCCACATCATGTGCCATATCCCAGTCTTCTGTTGGATCACTGCTACAGTTCTGGAGGATGTGCTGAAAACCAGAGAGGGAGGACAGCTGCCCAAGACCCTGACTGAGATGTACATCCACTTCCTGGTGGTTCAGGCCAAAGTGAAGGAGGTCAAGTATGATGGAGGAGCTGCGACAGATCCACACTGGAGTCCAGAGAGCAGGAAGATGATTGAGTCACTGGGAAAAATGGCTTTTGATCAGCTGCAGAAAGGAAACCTGATATTCTATGAATCAGACCTGACAGAGTGTGGCATCGATATCAGAGCAGCCTCAGTGTACTCAGGAGTGTTCACACAGATCTTTAAAGAGGAGAGAGGACTGTACCAGAAAGAAGACAAGGTGTTCTGCTTCATCCATCTGAGTGTTCAGGAATTTCTGGCTGCTCTTCATGTCCATCTGACCTTCATCAACTCTGGAGTCAATCTGCTAGAAGAAAAACAAACACCCTCCAAGAATTCTGAAACAAAGAACTCTACAGAGAAACACTTATACCAGAGTGCTGTGGACAATGCCTTACGGAGTCCAAATGGACACCTGGACTTGTTTCTCCGCATCCTCCTGGGTCTTTCTCTGCAGACCAATCAGACTCTCCTACGAGGTCTGCTGACACAGACAGGAAGTAGCTCACACACGAATCACGAAACAGTTCAATACATTAAAGAGAGGCTCAGTGAAGAAGGCCTGTCTGCAGAGAAAAGTATCAATCTGCTCCACTGTCTGAATGAACTGAATGATCCTTCTCTAGTGGAGGAGATCCAACAGTCCCTCAGTTCAGGAAGTCTCTCCACAGATAAACTATCTCCTGCTCTTTGGTCTGCTCTGGTCTTTATCTTACTGTCATCAGAAAAAGATCTGGATGTGTTTGACCTGAAGAAATACTCTGCTTCACAAGAGGCTCTTTTGAGGCTGCTGCCAGTGGTCAAAGCCTCTAACAAAGCTCTGTAAGTAAACATCTACACTCACATTTATTGTTGAAGTATTGATGCTATGTATGGTTTATAACAGTACCATTTCTGAAAAATATTGTTCCTGTAACCCTTATTAAAGTGCCACCCAGATCCAGCCTGTAATGTACTAAGAGGTCTTCTTTAACTCCTCAAAAATGAATGAAAAGAAAAGAAAATGATAAAAACCCTTGATTCCCCCCAAAGGAAAGTGAAACTCTCTTCAGTGTAATTCACTGGTCAACATCAAGCACCTCCAGAATCTATTTCACCAAAATCCCAAGATAGGTCTGATTTTTCTGATCCCCCTCTTCCAGGTGTAGATAACCTAGAGTTCACTCATGACCTTGTCTCTATGTCCACTATTTTTGTTCGTTCTTTCTAATCCATATATTTTGGTCAGTAAACTGTCTTTACTGAAAGAGTCGGTTATTTTAATTTGGAAACTATGTGTGCTTTTGTCTTTTAATATTTTTTTATTATTAGTAGGTTGTCACTAGTTTAGATAACTCTGCTGTTACAAATTCAGCAAATTCAAATTATATATTTTTTTTCAAGCTTGGATTTTAAGTTGAATACTTTTTTTATGAAGCACAATGGAATTTTTTTTATCTTGCAGGTTTAAAATAAAAGTAATTTCCTTTGATCACAAATATCATTGATTTTTCAGACTGTCTGGCTGTAACCTCTCAGAGAGAAGCTGTGAAATACTGTGCACAGTTCTGAACTTCCAGTTCTCTAGTCTGGGAGAACTGGACCTGAGTAACAATGACCTGCAAGACTCAGGAGTAAAGCTTCTTTCTTCTGGATTGAAAAAGTCATACTGTACCCTGGAGTCTCTTAAGTCAGTATTGTGGGGCTTTTTTTCCTTAATTTATATTCATAATATGGATTAGTTTACTGCACAAACAAAAACATTATGGAATTCTAAATTGACGTTTTGGGTTTGTTTTTTTTTTAAATTTAGGTGTATCATTAATCTCTGAATAACTGTTATGTTTATATTTATTTTCATAACCATTTAATAGAATAGAAAAAAGTTGCCCTTTTTATTGTCATTATACATGTACAACAAAATTGTGGCTATTCCACACAACCTGTGCCAGAAAATATATATAAGAACACACAAATAAAACAATGCTTCCTTTCAGTTTTTACAGGTGAATTGTGGCGAGGGTTTTTTGGTTTTTTCTTTGTGTGTGTTTGTCTGCAGTCTTTCAGGATGTCTGATCACAGAAGAAGGCTGTACGTCTCTGACCTCAGCTCTGAGCTCAAATCCCACCCACCTGAAAGATCTGGACCTGAGCTACAATCATCCAGGTGACTCAGGAATAAAGCGGCTGTTGAGTGGACAGAATGATCCACGGTGGGGACTGGAGACTCTCAGGTATGGAGATGTGATAGAGGAAAAAGAGCTGGAAATTTCCTGTGTCCTTCACTCACTTCCTCTTTATTTAATGCAAACATAAAATGAACAATCACACATGCAGAAAAGGTTGTCATTTCAAGAAATAGTGGGGGTAGGTTTTTGGATATACGGTGAGGCAAAAAAGTTCTCTCACTTAAAAAGATGAGAGAGCCTGTAATTTTCATCATAGGTATATCTCAACTATGAGTGACAAAATGAGAAAAAAAATCCAGAAAATCATATTGTTTGATTTTTAAAGATTTTATTTTTCAAATTATGGTGGAAAATAAGTATTTGGTCACCTACAAACAAGCAAGATTTTTGGCTCTCACAGACATGTAACTTCTTGTGTAAGAGGCTCCTCTGTCCTACAGCGCGTTGTGTCGGGCACTGTCGGACGGTGTTTTTTTCATTTCCCCAAAAATGATCTCATCCAAGAAAGCCTCATTTTTGCTTTTTAATACTGAAGAAATTTAAACTTTTTAAAATGATGCCAAATTGCAAAACACTTAGCTGTGTCTCTAATAAAACCTCTGTAACTTTGCTTCACTTCAGCAGCATCAGGTAATGTTCATATGTTGATTCGTGGTTTTCTTCTGTTTTTGTTCTACTGCAATATTTTTAAGGTTATCTGCTATAAAAAGCCAGGCCAGGAAAATCCTCCTTCATGTTTTTCCTGTGTTTTATCCTTATTTACTTTGCCACAAAGGCATCTCCTGTTATGCTTACACAACTGTTGAAGTCTCACAATTGTCAGTACTGATAAATGCTGTGGGTAATGAGAAAAGATGAAAAGAACGATTGATAACTTTTTCGTTAAGCCCTGATCCGTCTGAAATTCATAGCCAGTGCTCTGACAAGGAGCCATCAACCTCTCAGGTTATGTCAAACACTGGTGCAGAGATGGCATCAGATAAGGAGCCACATACGATCGACTCCAAGCCAGAGCCCACTAAAAGTAAAAGGGGGAAAACATCTTGAGCATTCTCAATCATCTAGGTAAGTAAATCTCCAAAGGTTGATTCTGTTCATCTGGACGTAGCGTTTTCAGTGGGAGAAACCTTTCGTCACTCATCCAAGTGACTTTTTCAGTCTCACCTGCACGTTTCCCCAATCTTATAAACGGTGCATTTGCATAATGACTAAAACCAGCCCACTGCATCATGATGAAAGAACTGACCTCCCAGCCCATTGTTCCTTCAGTGGTCTGCTTTCAGTCATTATGCAAAACAGTCAGTGGTCACTGTCGACTTCTCTCGGTTTTTATCATCACTATTCATTTTAAAGCTCAGTTTTTAAAACCCTTTGATGTAACTACAGCCCAGCCCATGCAGAAGTATATTAATGACTAACTTCGTATTGCAGTTGTTCTCCTGACTGAAGTTTGGTCCCTTTACAGCGTCCTGGCATGTGATTGCATCAGGAACCCTCACTTTAACTTTTATAGAGTGGAAAAAAGTTAGCGTTCATCTCCAGCTTCACTCTGTTTATATTATTGTAACCATAGCTGTGTAGCTAGCCACCATGCAGCACATCATTATATACCAGCTAGTCCAATTTCAGTAACCCTACAAACGCCACTGCTGTTTAGTTTTCTGTCTTCAGTTATGTCGGAAGTGATTGCAGAGCTGCACCTTTTAATTTTTGCTGTGGCGGTTAAGCTGCTGGATATTTGGCTTCACGACTCTCCTTCATGGTCCGTGCACGGCGAAGCTCAGTTTGCTCTTCGTGGTGTTTCAGCTGATGACACAAAATACCATCATGTGGTAGCCTCGCTGGATCTGCTGTCCACCCACCGTGTCATGACCCTCCTCTGGGAACCCCCCCGCCCCAAAGGAAATACATCGCTCTCAAGGCGCTGCTGATTCGATGCTACTCCTCTGATGCAGAGCGCACCGAAAAACTCCTCTCTCACGGGCCTGGCTGATGATGCCACTCTCAAGCTCATGGAGAACATACTGTAATGCTAGGAACGGATGACAGTGGATTCCTCTTCATTCACGGCTTCCTCCGACAGTTGCCGCTGCGAGCTGGAATCGCCAACTCCCCGCTCCTGGCCGCGACTCATTACCGCTCACTCGCAGAACAAGCGGATTGCATTCTCCTGGCTACTAGGAGCTTCTGCATCCTGCATCAATGGTGAGTCGTATCAAAGCAGGGCAGCACCGCAGAAAAGGGCTGTGTTTTTACCATCAGCGTGAAACGCCTTGCTGCCTTTTCAGTTTTAAGGCCCAGGGAAACGAGCCTGCCAGTGCTCTGCGAACACTGGCGATAAGGAATAGCTACTCTTTAAGAATAAGAATAAGAATAACTTTATTTATCCCGAGGGAAATTCTTTTGTCATGTACATGCTCAAAGCAGCAGGAGAGACAGAGGAACAGATGAATAAGATATAAGATATACAATATATACAATAAGAATAGTAGTGTACAGTAATATACAGTAGGATAGTGCAAGACATAGTATCGAATAACTCTAACGAACTAGTATATATAACTATATCCTGGTGAATAAATAACTTAACTATCAGTGCAGGCGGTTCTAGAAAGTGACAAAGTATTGTGCAATAGAATAAAGGGGGTAGCAGCGTATGATGTGGGGATGAAACAAATATTCAATAAGGTACTCTTGGGTAATATTGCACGGTCTGGAAGGGAACAGAATAACATTGGTAATCGTCTCAGGAAAATCACCTACAGAGTGAGGAAGAGTTGAACAGTCTTATTGCCACCGGTACAAAGAATTTACTGTGGCAGTCAGTTCTGCATTTCGGGGCAATGAGTCTTTTATAGAGGACTCGTGCTCGGGGAGACGTTTTCTGGTTAACTCTGGCTACCAGAACTCCCAGAAGAGCCTCGGGAACTCTCATGTCGTCTTTCCATACCTCCACAATGGTAAATTATTTAATCTTTAAAAATTTTATGGGAGATTTCCCGTGTACCACCAGATAGAGCCCAAGTACCCCTAGTGGTACATGTACCACAGTCTGAGAAAAACTGGTCTAGAGCCCTGCATGTCCAGGCCCATCTGAGGTTTGCTAGAGAGCATGTGGATCATCCAGAAGAGGATTGGGAGAATTTCATATGGTCAGATGAAACCAAAATAGAACTTTTTAGTAAAAATTCTACTTGTTGTGTTTGGAGGAGAAAGAATGCTGAGTTGCATCCAAAGAGCACCATACCTACTGTGAAGCATGGGAGTAAAACCTTAATGCTTTGGGGCTGTTTTTCTGCAAAGGGACCAGAATGACTGATCCTTTTAAAGGAAAGAATTTTGAGTGAAAACCTCCTGCCATCAGCAAGGGCATTGAAGATGAAACATGGCTGGGTCTTTCAGCATGACAATGATCCAAACACACCACCCGGGTAATGAAGGAGTGGTTTCATAAGAAGCTTTTCAAGGTCCTGGAGTGGCCCAGCCAGTCTCCTGATCTCAACCCTCATAGAAGTCTGTGTTGTGCAGTGAGAGCCCGAAAACATCACTGCTCTTGTGGAGATCTGCATGGAGGAATGGGCCCAAATACAGAGGTGGGTCGAGTATCCAAAAATTGTACTCAAGTAAGAGTAGCATTACTTTAAAATATTATTACTCAGGTAGAAGTGAAAAGTAGTCATCAAAAAGTTACTCAAGTAAGAGTAAAAAAGTACTTGGCGAAAAGACTACTCAAGTAGCGAGTAACTGTTTAAAATGTTTAAATTTTATTTTATAAATAAATTCTATCAGACAAACAAAAATAAATAGATATGCAAATTTTAGTATTTTCAAAAGGAATATATGTAAAAACATCAACAAACTAAGGCACAACAATTCTGATTTCCAGATTTCAGTTTTTCACAACATAAAGCTTTTTTCACCATTACCTACAGTAAATAATATGAATAAACAGTGCAAACAATTTCCAGTGGCAAGATATGCTATAAACTTTATATTCATTTTTGCTCCAAATGGCACAGCAGCCTCAGAGAAAACAGAACAAGGTATCTTCAACATATGTACATACAAGGCAGCTCAGTTTACCATAAATTGTATTGCTGTGCATCTATTTCTGCATATTTAGCAAAAATGTGCCATTTCTTCACTCGGTAAAGTGATGGTTAAGCTTCAGCAGCAGTTTGCTCTCAAGGTTCTTTCTGTGAAGCTGCAACTGTTTAACAGTGAACAGGAGTCCTGCATGACTGAGACATCCTTCACAAGCTCCAGATGCAGGAAGAGCTGTACTGATTTTGATGGACAGCTTCTTGATGTGAGGAAAGCCATGCAATAGATCCACACCTCCAGTGAATGGACATGAAAGGTACCTCTCCAGCTCCCCTGCTTCTGGCTTTCCTGACCCCATGGATCCATCATCTTCGTCGGTTAGGCTGCTGTTTGTGCTGGCCTCATTCAGCTCTGTGTCTAGGTGATGTCTGATGAAGTTGAGACCTGTGGAAAGATATATGGTTTTCAAAAGAATTAGGTCTGGCCATTATAGTGCTGTATACACTGCCAAGCTGCGGATGGTTGTTTGGAGCTAGCCTCCAAAAGCTGGGCATACACTGTGCGATTTTTGGCCCATTATGAGCCGATTTTTCAGTCGCACAACCGTTTTGCCTTAATCGTGTGTCGTGCATCGTGTAGTATACATGGGGTAACGAAAAGCAGTTAACACCTCACGACCAGCTCCCAATCATCAATCGTATGGTTGCAAGATAATCAAACCTGTTTGAAATCCTGTCGCCCCTCACACTGCGCACACACAAACACAGAAATGAAAGTGAAAAGGTGGAGCAGCACGGCAGTGCAGCGTGTGATCTGGACACAAGAGATGGAGGCACAACTTGTAGAACTTTGGAAAGCTCATCCGAGTACATAAGCGTAGAGCTGCCACCCAGGCAAAAGAAAAATAGAGTTATATCACGTTATAACGTGAAAAGTTTATTGTTCTAACAATATACTTTTCATGTTCATGCAATATACCTTTCACGTTTGAACAATATAAT